ACTGCAGCGCGGCGCACCGAAGCCCGCTGCGCCAGCTCTGGCCACCGCGCGCGGGAGCCGCGCCCGACCGGGGCACTGTCTCGGCCCCCCAGGCCCCCGACGCCGTGTCTTGTTCACGACGTCGACCCCCAGAGGTCTGGACCCCTTCCCCGGGACCGGCGTTTCATCCTGAGTCGTTTTTTGACGACCCCGAGGCCCGGGAATAGGGGAACAGAAAGTGGCATAAACATAAAAACTCAGAGGTCCGCGCGGATTTCTCGGATCGGCGCTGGGGCCCCCCGGCGGCGCCTCCGGCGCCGCCCCTGGCGCGGTCCGCGCGCCAGGGAGGGGGGTCCACCGCCGATCCGAGAAATCCGCGCGGACCTCCGAGCTTTTATGTTTATGTTACTTTTTGTTCCCCCAGGGAAGGGCCCCCGGGAGGCCGAAAACAGCGAAGAACCTCCCATCGTGACTTCCTCGCAGCGCGAGGGGGCCTGGGGTCTCGGCGCGCCGCCGAGTGGCGCGGCACTCCGCGGGTCCTGCCGGCGGCGCGCAGCGGCCACCGTCCGTCGCCGCCGTCGCCGCCGCCAGTGGCCGCCGAGTGCGCCGACGAGGATGTCGCCCTCGGCAGGGGCCGCCCTCGGCGGCCCTCGGCGGCCCTCGGCGGCCCTCCGTGCCAGGGTGGCGGCGCGCAGGGCGGCGGCGTCAGCGTCGGAGTCGGCATCGGCGACGGCGTCGGCGGCGTCGGCGTCGGCGACGGCGTCGGCGGCGTCGGCGTCGGCGACGGCGTCGTCGTCTGTTGTCGCCGTCTGTTGTCGCCGTCTGTCGTCGTCGTCGTCGTCGACCGAGAAATCGGGGGTGGAGGATCAAGAATCGAGGATCGAGATGTTTGGACGTTTTCCCGTCTAGCTCTGACGTCCTCGTGGCCAAATTGCCTGCAAATTCGGTCAAAAATGCACCAAAGTGGCCAAGGCTGGATCCGCCTGCAAATTCGGTCAAAAAATGCAGCCATATAGAGAGGTCCTGAGGTCGTCGTTGCCTGCCGTCGTCCTCTTGCTCCTCGTCCTCCTCCCCCTCCTCCAACTTCAACACCACTTAATCCTCCGCCTCCTCATCCTCCTCCTCCGTAACCGCTTTGGCTCAAGATGTTTTGATTTGTCCTGAAGGTTGTTGAGCCTCCAGGCAGCAGGGATACCGCCAGTCCGCGGCCAGACTCGCCCCCTCGGCCTTGTCCGCCCCAGGTCTGGACCTCTGTGCCAGAGCGCGGAGGCGGTGAGCCCCTGCAGGAGCATACTAGGCACCTGAGTGCTGGGTGACCGAGCACCTGGCAGAGCGTTGGTGGTCGAGGCTGCCCCGTCCTGGGGAGGGAGGAGGGAGGAGGGAGGAGGGAGGAGGGAGGAGGGAGGAGGGAGGAGGGAGGGGGGAGGGGGGAGGGGGGAGGAGGGAGGAGGGAGGGAGGAGGGAGGAGGGAGGAGGGAGGAGGGAGGAGGGAGACGGTGCCGCCCAAGCCCGTGCACCAGCGCAAGTGGTTCGACAAGCAAGGCGTGCACGGGCGCAGCGGGAAGCCGTCCCGCAGCGTCGCCGAGGACAAGAACTGGTCGGGGGCGGCCAAAGAGGGGGGCGTCCGGGGGGGCGCAAATCGTGGCCGGCGGCACGTGCGCGGCTCAAGAGGGGACCAGGGACGGGATGAGAGAAGAAGGGGCGCCATGAAATCTGGAGAAGGATCATGGCCCACGCCATGAGATCCACCCCACCCTGGTCGTCACCCCCCTCGCTGCCGCCCCCGAAGTGCCACCAGCGCAGGCCGACGAAGGCGTCTGTGTTTCCGCGGCCACGTGGCGCCCCAAAAAAACCGCCGACGCCCGCGCGCCAGCGGACACCGGTTCGGACACACGAGGGGCCCGCCCCGCCGAGCGTGGGGCCCCAGGCTCTATCGGTCGGCAGGGGGGCGCGGCTGCACGGGCAGCTCCAGCAGGCCCGCAGGCCGCCCGACACCGTCATCATCGGCGTGGACGGGAGCCTCCCATACCATCTTGTCGGCTCTTGCGAGTCGACGCTGATCGACGCTAACTCGACGCTGGTCGACGTTAGGTCGACGCTGATCGACGCTGCATCGACGCGAATCGACGCGAACCGACGATAGATCGGCGCTATCTCATCGACTCACAGACGCAAGTCGACGCTCACCGAAGCTAAGGGCGGAAAAAAGGGCGTACACCAGGCTCCCACGATTCGCCATCGAACGAGGGGGGGCCCGACCTGCGGGCTACTCGGGCCCGCCTCGCCGAGGTGGAAAAGGAACTGGCTGCCGCCAGGGGCTTCTCGGGGGCCTCGTGGGAACGAACGACGCGCGAGTCGCCCCTGCAAGGAAACGGGCCGGCCAGCGCCATGCGCCTGACGGCCGCGGCCGATCGCCCCATCAGCCCGTCGTGCTCCTCGACAGTGCAATTCAGAAGCAGTAGTATTGAGAATATGTTTAAACTTCTTCGCGTAAACAAAACAAAAAATAACCTCCTGCAGATCCCAAAAAGCCTTTTCCAATGCTGTCGTAAGTCATGTGACGTCGCTATTTTCCCCCGCCGCGACTGCTCTGCACTTCCAGCGTCGCGGCGTTGTTCCGCTTCGTCGCCAGATGGTTGCTGCAGACTGCCCACATGGTTCCGCATGTCGTTGTCCCACCTATTACGTTGTCCACCTCGTCGTCGCCCCCCCGCTGCTTTGAATGAAGTTTGGGGCTCCAGTCAAGAACGCGCTGCGTCCAGCGGGCCGGCGCGTGGCTCGCAACTCGCGCGCCCCAGCGCCATGACACTTTGCGGCGCAGCTGTGCCACATCTGGGACGGCGTGTTTCTCCATGAGTTCCTCGGCCATCCAGGTACTCCTCCGTGTAAAGTCGGATCAGACCTCGACATTTTTTGCGTTTGTCAACTGGCTGGGCATGGTTTGAGGGCTTCGCTCTCATGCCCGCGGGGGTCGCCACAGGATGCGCGAGCCTTGCTGAACCCCCCCAGCCTGGGGGGCCTTTTGGGGAACATCGCAAAGCAGCTGGCGACTGAGCAATCGCAGCTGCAGCAGGAGCTGCCAGCAGGCAGGCCTAAGAGCCAGCAGTCGCCATCCTCCTTCGCCAGGTCGAGGCCTTCAGAAGAGCCGTGCTTCTCTCGAAGCCTCGCAGCAGCAGCAGGTCGTGGAAACGCAAGAGAGCGGCCATCGAGAAGAAGAGGGCTGCCATCGCGCAGCACGAGGCCGAGCTGGCGGACTTCCATTGTCAGCAGGCGCTGCTGGCGGCCAAGTCGCAGCAGCCCGCCCCCATTGAGGCCTCCTCCTCGACACTTCCAACGGCCGCCCCCGCCATCCAGTTGGACACCGAGAGCCCAGACATCGGGCGTCTCAAAAAATTCGAGACCGAAGTTTTCCCTAGTTTTCAGCCTCCCAGGGCCCTCACCACGCCTCGGGGTCGTCAAAAAAACGACTCGGGATGAGGAACCGGCCCCCCGTGGGAAGCGGTCGAGCGGTGGGGGGCCAGCGTCTCGAAAAAATCGAGACGCTAGATGCCTGGGAGGCTGGCTGCGGTGCTCGACGGGCCCAGGGCCCGGCTGCCAGACCCGACCTCCTCGGCGCAAAGTCCGGCGCAGCAGCTGCCCCAGTGCGCGGCCCAGCTCATGGCGCAGCCGGCGCCAAGCAGCGCCTGCGCAGGGAGGCGCCAGCGGAAGAGCGGGCACGGCGGCTGCCGGCCGCCAGGCCTGGTTGCTCCGGCCACCTTGAAGGGGCCCAAGGACACACAAATGAACGCTCGCCCCCTTGTGATCATACAATTTGCCTTGTCTTCGATGCTTTCCACTTCTATATTATTCCGCCCTCCCTCATCTGACCCCGCTCTCCGTCGCTCCCCCTCATCCTCTGATCCCCCTTCAGCGGGGCAGCGCAACCTCGGGCTCGGGGCGGCGGCGGGGCAGCACAAGGCTGCTTAGTGTTAGCTCGCGCTGGATCCCAGGCCAAGCGGCCCGCGGCGCCTCGCCCACGTCGACTCGGCGGCGGCGGAGGCCATCCTGGACGAGCGGCATGGATAGTGGATCAAGCCCCCCATGAAGTCAGAGGAGGAGGCCAGCCAACAGCAAGCCACAATGGGCACGCCGCCCATCACCACCGACCAGGCGCGCGCGTTGGCCAGGGCTCCCGCGCCAAATTGGCTGGGACAACTTCCACCCCAGGGCGCTCCTCCTCCTCCTCCTCCCCCTCCTCCTCCTCCTCCTGAAGCGTTGCTGCAGCGGCTCGTGGACGCGCTCAATCGCCGGGGGCAGCTCCATGTCACGATTGACCAAAGGCTCGCGATGATGGCATCATTACCGACGCCGCCGCCCCAGTTGGGCAGGCGGCCCATTGGCCTCCTTTGCGCGCGGGGCACGCGCGGCCCCGAGTCCGACAAGCCGAGGTTCGCCGCTGGGAGATCAGCGTTGGACGAGACCTCCTCCTGGGGCGAATCTGGGGCACGGCGCCGGATCGAGCTGCCCACGTCCACGACCTCCTCGTGACGCGCCAAACGCAACCGCACGGTGAGCGGCTCGACATTACCCGATTTGTGTCGCTTCTATGAGACTGAGTCTCACATGGCCACGAAGCAGTCAGCGGCGCACTACGCAGTCGATCCTGGTGCGCCCAGGTCGCTCTGCGCGCTGCACCGCGGGCCTCGCCGAGCACTGTGGCTATCCTGCAGGGCTCAAGCCGTTCGGCTGAATGGAACAGTCGTGGCAGGGGTGCTCACGCGCCACGGGCGCTGTCTAATTGCTCGCGCCGCGCGTGCTTAAGGCGACTGTTCTCGAGGCGCCCGTCTGTCGGCCCGTCTACCTGGCTGACGAGATCAAGCTGCACGCGATTGGAGGGTTGCGCACGGTGGCCGCTCAATCAGTCAAGGCTGCGACTTTGATTTCGACGCCCACGCAGCAGCCAGAGCTCCCTGTCAACATGCCCAAGACATATTTTATGGTATCGGACAACGAGTTCCTCGCCCTTCGGCCCGGTGGCCCCGAACGGTCGCTGGAAGCTCCGTTGTTGTCGGCGACCCCATCGGGACCATAGCGGGGACTCGCTGGACGGCCCCCGTCGCGCAGTCGACCCGCAGAGCAAGGATGGGCAACCTTCCCAAGGACACCCCTGCACCCTTGCTTCCTCGGCCCATCCTCAGCGGCTTTCGCTGGCTAGCCTCGTTCGGAAAAACGTTCACATGGGCCTCCAGACCGTTTGCATCCTGACCGCGCATGCTTGCGATAGGGACTGACTGCAGGATCCCGACCCATGCAGGTCGGCTTTCTGGTGCCACGCTGCCGCGGGCAGACCTCGGACACGGGGCCGAGGAGCCGAGGAGCCCCTCGCGCTTTCGGGGCGGGGCCCACGGCCGAAGCTTGTCTTGGGGAGCCCCCGTGCTCGGGGCCAGTCGCTCTGCGCCAAAACACAGCCGAGGGTCGCGGAGGCTCGCGGCTTTGGTCCACTCCAGTCTAGATCGCCCCGCGGCGCTCCGCTTCTGTTCACAGAAGCTCCTGGACGAGCGATCCGCTCGTGCGCCTCACTGCACTAGCGGTGAAAGCATTCGTTTCGGCGCGGCGGCACCATCCGGTCGCCAGGCATGCGACGGCGCCCGCGCTCGAGGATGCCCGCGAGATCTCTGCAAGAAAAAAGGCGCTGGAGTGCAGCGGAGCAGTCGATAGCCGCCCCCCCTGACCCCCCACAGAATTGGCTGGGACCTCGACCTCGATAGGGACAGCCTGGAGGATCACCGCGGGCTTGCCTGGGCCTCGCCTCGGTTCTCACCCGCCGTTTTCGCTACGCCGTCGGCGGGCGCGCTGGGGCGCAGTCGGCGTTCGTTGGTGAATGGACAAGCCAGATCTGCCCCGCCCTGCCCGGGAGCCCACCACGGCCGCCGCATCGGAGGGCTTGGCGGCCCACCACCAGCGCGTGGTTCGGGGGGCCTGACGGCCAACAGGTGCCGATCGCCTGGGAGAGGTGGGTAGAGGCATGAAGTAGGAAGGCGTTGGAAGTGGACTGGATCTCAGCCAACCCGCCGAGAAGGAGGGAGGAGGGACAACCGATCGATGATTCAAGTAGGAAGGCGCGTAAAGTGGACTGGGTTCTGGGAAGCAAGAAAAATATACTACTTTCAACGTCCGATGAGTTTCGGCGCCAGCAGCGACGTGCCGAGAAATGCGAAGACGTCCGCCCTGACTGCCCCCTTCGTGGGGGCCTTGCCTCATCGCCGGTTCGGCTGCCCCGCTCACTCGGCGCGGAGACGCGCGGAGCTCCCGCGCGAGGGTCGGGAGGCTGCCAGGTTCGTGCCCAGGCTCTCGGGTCGGGCCCAGGGGCTCTTTTCTTCTCCAGGGCAGCCTCCCCGACCCGTCAGCCTGGTTTCAGCGCAGGGCGCCTGACCCGACATCCTGCTGCAGTCAACCCGTAGACGAAGGATGCGCGGTAAGGCTGCAGGGGCCTTGGAAGACCAGGTCGACGTTTTTCGAACGGGGTCGGCCAGCAGAAGTCGCCAAGAATTGGCCGAAGGGGCAAGGATGCAAGGGCAGCGCTCGAAAGTCGCTCATCCTCACTATGCGGGTTGACTGTATGGGCATATGTTTAACTGGCCTGCGGAAGGCATCGTGATTGGCGCTGGGATACACGGATGGATCGGCCTTTGAGGGCCGGGATCCCGTCTCTGGGGGTGGCGGGATGGGCGGCTGTCGTCACGAACGGGGAGGGAGTCGTCCAGTCGCGTCTCTGTGAGGTGGTGCCCTTCGATGACGCACTTCTCCAGGCAGCGAGGGACGGCGAGGACTACGCGGTCCTCCAACTTTCGCTCATCGAGGTGCTCCTCCCCGGGTCCAGCTTTCACATGGGTTGCTGTGGCACGGTCGATTGTGCTCGGGGCCCCAGGTCGGCCGCGGGCCCTGATAGTGCGCGGGCCCACTGCGGGACCAAGGTCTTCGACAAGCTTGATGATTGCAGTGGGCAAGATCCTGTCTCAGTGCACAGCGAAGGATGTCATTGATGGCCGCCTGGCTCGTGTTTAGCGGCTCGGGAGTAGGGCCGCAGACTTGTCCGCGCGCTAGGGTGCCTGGTGACCGTCTCGGCATCATCGGCTGCCATGAAATTTCGAGGCAGGCGGCACGGTTCTCGGCCCGCCAGGAGGCCATGATCGCGGATGCAGGTGTGCATGACCACGTCCCATTGGATCGGCTTCGCGACATCGACCTCGGCTCGTTTGAAAACGCCGCCTGATATCGAGGACGGGGGTGATCACAGTGGGGCGGGAATCGTGGGTGTCGTGGAGTCGGGGTCGTCCGTCGGGGAAGGCGAGCGCGCGGCGGTGGGCACTGAGGCGAGGGCCGCTCCCCCCTCCGCATCCAGCGCCTCCTGAATCAGAGGCGCGGGCCCTCCTCGGGTCCCGGCAGGCCCGAAGCCACTCCTGCATCGAGGTCCCGGTGTCCTCCATCGCTGGTGCTCCCGTGCGCACCATGGTCTTTTGCACCACCTGTGGGTCCGTGGGC